TTTTCCTTGCTTCGACATTAGCCGAAGTTCCTTCATTCTAAATATGAGCACACAGACAGAGACTGTTCTGCAGTTATTGTGTGAGGACATGTGTTTACTAGATGCAGAGAGATTGTAAACTGATACCATACATTCAGTCCCTTAAGCTAGGCCTGGCTGGTCACCACTTAGCCATGAGGAGGGGGAGAACATTGACAATGGGAGTCTTTTACATTTGCTGCTTCGTTGTTGTAGTCCAGCTTTGGCTTATCTGCTTTGGCCCCTGTTAGTCCCTCACAGCATCTCTTTCTTTGCCATCATCCCTATCCTTTTACATTGCAGTCCTCCTTTGGTCTCACATCGCTCTTTCAGGAAGGATTAATGAGGCCCTTAAACAGGAAGCTTCTTTTGTTCTATGATAGTTCCTTTTCAAAGTCAGAATAAAAGTGTTCGTTTTCCCTATTATTCATAACTTTTGTAATTTTCAATTTAATGTAAATTTTTGTAAAATATTTGCCAAAGTACATATATATTCAGACATAATTTTTTTCTATATTTTTAAACTCACTTCAGACTCTCAGCCCTGAATGGGATGTCTCCATCAAACCCCTCCGCTGAGAGTTCAGGGAACCTCTAGGAAGAGGAGGTGGAGAGAGTGTAAGGGCCAGAGGGGTGGAGAACAGGCCCTCTGAATCAGCGTGACCTCACAGAGACTGAAGCAGCACACACAGGGCCTCCACCAAGCTGTCTGTGTGTGTATCATGGTCTCCAGCCTAGTTTTTTTTTATAGGATTCCTGAGTCTCTGTCTGATTCTTGTGCCTTCTCTTGAGTTCTTTTTTGCTGTTGTTGATGATTCATCTTGTCCCCCCTTGAGTGGTAGTTTTTGTTTTATCTTATTTTGTTTTCTAAATGAATGAATAGATGAAAACCTACCCAGTAGGGTAAAGGTTAACAATTGAGCTGTCATTTATCCATGCTGTGAGAAGTGGAGTGACACTGGGACATCATCAGATCCTCCAGGGCAGGCCTTGTGTTAAGGAGTACTTGGACAACATGCAGTGGACAACAGAGTTTCTTTTTTTTTTTTCTGTGTGGTTTTATTTGGTTATAGTTTGTTGAGTTTTGCTTGTTTGTTTTGAATATAGTTTTGTTTTCTTGGTTAACTTGAGGTTTTGTTTGTCTTTTGAGAAAGAACTTAAAGTTGCATGGGTGAAGAGAGGATCTGGAAAGACTTGGGGAAGAGAAAGAATAGGATCAAAATATATTTAAACTTAAAGATTGTTTTATATAATAAAAATACAATTAAAAGGGGAAATTTTGTTGAGAGAAAGAAAGCATTAAGATGTTTCTAGATCAAGATCTTGATTCAAAAGTGAGTTGGGCCAGATTAAGAGATGTCTGGCTAAAAGCATTTAACTTACGGGGCAAAGAGCACTTGCTACTCTTGGAGAGGGCCTGGGATTTGATGGCCCACAACCCTCAGTAAACACAGTTTCAGGACAGGCAATGCCTTCTTCTGGCTTCTGCAAACACCAGGCAAACTTGTAGTATGCATACATACATTCAAGTAAGCATTCATATACATAAAATAAAAATATAATAGCATAAAGTAAGTAATAAATAGTTTTTTTAAATGACTTAGGAAGATAGTTATCTTCTGTCACACAAAACCTTTGTATTCATGAACTCAGTCAGTATGATTCCTGACAGAACCTGCACAAGAGCAAGAAGTAGTTAATCAGTGTAGATGGGAAAGGAACTCAGAAAGTCTCACTCCTAACTGAGGGGCAATTGGCAGCAGATGGCTACTAGAGAGGGCCAGTTTTCTTTGAGAATTTGGCCCTATTTTGTGACCATTTTCCAATAGATGGCCTGCACACATGTACATCATATAGGCAAGTAATTTGATTTAATGGATTCATGTTAGAGTTCATCTTCAACAATTACAAGAGAACATTACTGTCCCATCCTGGGTTTGAACACTCAGATCTGAATGATGGTGGGTTTCTAGGCTGTTGAATGAGAGTCTTAGGGAAAGAATTCACACCCATACAGATATACCCATATTCTATGTGTTATGGTCGGAACTGAACTAAGTTTCCTGCTGGCTCTGTAGTGACCACAGGACTCCTGCTGAGTGGGATCACCATACCTTTATTAGAAGTCCTGGTCCTAGAAAAAATTCCTGGTCTTAGAGAAGAGCTGTCCATGAGACATTAAGAAATATAAAGTAGGGGTAAGGAGTAAGTTTCCAAGAAGTAAGTGAAAACAGTTATTAAAAACAACCTGGAGCTAGTATGGTGGAGCACAACCCCAGCACTCAGGAAGCAGAGACAGGCAGAGGTCTTTGAGGCCTGCCAGGTCTGCATAGCAAGTTCCAGGAGAGCCAGTATTACACAGTAAGAACCAGTCTCAAACAAAACCTAGAAATGAACAGAATATAAACAACAAGGCTAAACAACAAAACCACGTACTTGTGAAAATGAACTGATTTGAAGTCTAGGAGGTAAATGATGCTTTTTGGAACTTTAAAGTGAATAAATGAGACAAATTCCAAATTGTATACAAAGAGTAAATTGCTGAATTAGCACCATTTGGAGAGTCCATTCATTTATAGACACTGAACATCAGGTACTGCTATAAATTTATGTTTTTAATCCTCAAAGGGAACCCTGTTCATTTAATAAATATCACATTCACTCTATCAGTCACTGTATTATTCACATCATTATATATCAGTTATTCTAAAACAAACTACATTTATCATCTCACTCAGATTTATGACTGGGGTATTCCTCGTGGTAGCTTTGGCTCCAAGGGAACCCACAGAAGGCCTCAAGGGAGACTGCAGCAGGTTGTCAATTGGGGTTTATCTCAAAGCTGACTGTCTGGAGAACCACCATCCAGGCTCCCTCCCTGGGAACCTGCAGAGTTCTTCTTCAGACTTTGGGTCTTTCTCTTCCTGTTGTTCTGTTCAGGCCTTAAACTGATTAGGGTGGCACATTGTGGAGGGCAGTCTGCTCCATCCACTCATTTAAGTGTTAGTCTTGTCCAAGTGTAGTATTTGATCAAATATCTGTGAACCCTGTGACTCAGTCATATCCCGTCACCAGTCACCTCCACTGCACACAATTTGTTAAGAATGAGTCCCTCTGAAAAGAGGAAGTCAGCTCTGTGCCTGGAAGGCAGGTATCTGTCATATTATATGGACGTATTTTTCAAAGCACTTCAAACACCAGTACTTGGGAGAGTCCAGTGTTTATTGAACAGAAGTTACAGAAGAAAGGAGATAGGAGTGTCAGAGAGGTGATACTAGAAGTGAAAATTACTGTAGATAGTTCGAGCTTGCTAAAAAGATGTAGTACATTAATGAAGACAAATGTGACGTCATCGCACTGCTAGTTGGGTAATACAGTGAAGTACTTCAGAGATCCTTAAAGTTAACTTGTCTTAACGTGGCCTGTCTAGTGTTCACATTCTAAAAATTACATAAGACTGTCTTACAAGTATTATATTATATTAGAAACAAAATATAAAACCAAGATAAACTTTTGCCTAGCTTTAAAAAGTACTCAGTGGGGTAATAGACTGAAGTCTAGTATTTTCTAATGCTTTTTGTAATTAGTATTTTATTTTGCTTTAAGTGATTTTACTTTGTAGGAAGTACTTCATTACCATATTCCTATTGAGAATTATCTGGGGTTTAGCCAGACTTTCTCTCCTCCCTCAGCAATCCTTTTTCATTTCCAAATACATATAAAATTTAATAATTTGTTAATAGTGTAATTTGTTACAAAAACAATTTAGGTTAAATGTTTTAAAAGAAAGTTTTCCATGCATATCACATTTGAATAATTTTGTTCTAATAAAAGAGAAACTGGAATGTCTTTTTCCTTTTTTTTTTAATAGAGATTTTGAGGGCAGGCATGTCATGAGATGAATCGTCACCTTAAATATATTTTTAGGGGCTTGCAATATGGCCCCGTGACTAAGAACACTTGATGCACATGTATGAGGACTTAAGATCTAACCTTTGTACCTATGTAAACAGCATAGCATGGCCACATGGGCCTGGAAGCCCAGCACTGGGCCAGAGCAAGGAGAAGGTAGGCAGATCCCAGGAGCTCCCTGGCCAGCCACTCTAGCTGAGGTGACCAGCTTCCGTTCAGTGACAGACGCTGTCTCAAAGGAGTAAGGTGGAGATCAGGGATAGAGGAAGAAAGTAACATCCTTCTCTGGCCTCAGCATGTATATTTGTGGGCACATATGCACACCACACACACACACACACACGCATACACACACACACAAGTAAAAATATATTTTAGTTATTGTGACTATACAGCTGACTAATATACCTTTGGATATTTCATTGCAGAGGATAGATGGGATTAAATGGCAGAAACATGACTAGAAAGTGCATGTTAGATATGATTCCGTCAGCATCTGCTACTGACAGGTGCTCAATGGTTGTTGGTATCTTTGTCAGCAAAGAGAATCCTTTGACATTAAAGTCACCAGCTCAGCCCTGATTTGGGGTGACTCTATTGGCAGTTCCATCAGACTGCAGCTGATCAGTGAATGTCAGAGCTGCTGCTGCTCTTCAGAAGTGTCACCAGCCCCCTGGGGCTTGCTTCCCCCCTCCCTGTCACTCTGGCTCGTACACTCTCTCTCTAGTTCTAGCTCTCATTCTCTCCCCCATAGCTCTTAAGCAGACTCCAAATGCTTACCTGAGAAATAAACTGATAGGCCATGGGGAATACAGATGTCTTTAGACTATGTAAAACCATACTAAGTGATGCCTTACATGGAGACTGCTAATGATTACCTTGAAGCCAAGCCAGTCAATGGGGGGAGCACCTGGGGACTCATTAAATGGCATTTGTGGACTCTGTAACCTAGGTTTTCAGCTGTATTTCAGGAAAAGCAGTGACAGCCTTTAATGTCTAATTGACCCCTTCTCTTTGTTTCACGTTCATTCACTTTCTGCCTTTGCCTCTGATGTGCTCCCTGATGGCAGCAAACAGCACTACTGAGCATTTTGAACTTCTGTGCAGAGCTTCAGCACCTCAGCCTGGGCAGCTGTGTGATGGTAAGCACTTCAAAGTTCTTCATACTCAATGCCTTGCTTCTCTTTTTGTTCCCATTGAGTGAGGTTTACCTAACACACCCCACCACATACATAGCCATATACTTTATCACACATTCAAACTCTTTTTCCCTTAAATTGGAGGGTATGTCTTTGAAGGACTTACCTTTACCACAAAAACAGGGGAGTGCAGTGTTGTGGAAAGAGCACTGTCTCAGGCTGTTTACCTGTCTGGATGCTCTAGTGAGATGAATTCTCAGAAATATGATAGAACATAGGTGTGTTGTTACTGTGAGAATTTTTATTCCTTCGTCAGGCACAATACAAAGATTGATGTCCTGTATTAGAACTTAGTTGTGTTTTATTTGTTCTTTTTAAAATTTTACTACTCTGTGAAATCCAGATGCCTGATTTTTAGATTAGAAAACTTCACTAGGCCTTTAAGATTTACATTGTGGCTTTATATGTCTATAAAGGAGGTAATGAGAAAAGTAAAATTTGTTTCATCTAAACTACATGATGACATGGTTTATGAATCACTCTGAGACTTAAGGGACAGTTGAACTGTTGGAATCTGTGTGTGCACACCTACACATGCAATCCATCATTGGATCCTCCAGTTCCTATAACCAAAGCAGACAGAAGAGATTTTCAGACTTGCTCAACATTGCAACCACTTAATAGCGAGCCCTAAATAAAAAGATAGAGAAATCTGGTATTCCAGTTTTGGATCCTAATTGGACATCTTTATAGTTTACAATTTGCTTCAAAGATGTTCAGAAATTGACAGTCTACATAGAGAAACCTGTTATAGAGATGCATGTGAGGTAATTCTACATCTTGTATTCTGTAATCCCAGTGCTTAGGTCCTGGAAAGTGCAAGCATGAACTCAAACAGTCCCAGGTTCCTGAGTCAATCGGGGAACCCACTGGATTCACATATTTCAAATCCAATTCTTACCTTTGTAAGCTAATTTGTTCTCTTCTTTGGATGCCTCTAGTAGCTCTTCTAGAGGAGCCCAGTGGCCTTTGATGGCAGTTTCTATGTCAACAGACCAGTTACTTGACTGTCTACACATTGCTAGGCTGTCCCACTAAGATTGGTAAAGGCCTTATTTAATTTTGCTCAAAATATTCTATTATTTGTAGTTACCACCCTACTCTTAAGTTGGAGCATAATTTTCTGGGAAATCAGATCCCTGGCCACAGCTTGAGTTGGAATTTTTGTGTGTGTATGTGTGTGTGTGCATGTGTGTGTGCGCATATATATACATAAATATTCATAGTTACAGTTACATGTATTTTAATTCAGTGTTTCCAAGATTGATCTGTAGAAAATTATCCCTGAAGAATTATCAAGTATAAAAGACTTTACATACGAGAATAGAGCAGGGATTCCTAATCAAAATTAGGAAGTGACACTAGTGTTCTCCCTATAAAGAAATTATTTGCCTTTGCTTAACTCTTGCTTCCCAGTCTTCTTGAATGCTGAACTCACTTTCCCATATTACATCTATTAAAATGTAGCTCACTATGGGAAATGGAGCTGTCAGTAAACTGTTTAGAACATGAAGAATGTGGTTACCAGTAAGATGCTACTACAATGATCCATGCAGCTAACACCCGTAGGGCCTCTTGCAGGTGCTAGCACTCTTTAAAAACTGTTTTTCCCTCTGATTGGTGAAGAGAATAAAACAGTTAGTTTTGAATAGATGAGTGGTTCTTTAATTTAAACTTTTGAAGGGTTGTTTTGATTTTAGGACATACATCTACTTTTGTTTATTTATTTTCCTTTAGCTTAAATTCCCAAGCATTACAATATCATATAAACTCATCATGTCCGGCAGCCTTGGCAGGAAGGTTGTTTCAGAATTTGGCAGCAACTGTGCCCATTTCCCGATGACTTTGGTTTTGCTTGGTTTGCCACCAGGCTTTCCTACTGTTTTTGCTTGATATACATAAGCACACCTCTTTCCCAAGGAGTGCTCAACTCCATTTCAAGCATGAGCCACATCAGCTCTAAGAAGGGTCTCTTTTCCCTTTGGAAATGTGCTTATAGCCAGCACCACAGATGTACTTGCCTTATAGAAGCCATGTTCCCAGCACCCCTCCAGTGGTCCTGGGACACCATCCATATTCATCCAACTTAAAGTGTTATTATCTATCGTAATAGAATATAGTGGCCATGTAGGTAATAAGGCTCCATAGTAATCTGAAGCTTGCTTTAATAATTCATTTCAATCTTTTATGTTTAAAATATTTTATCAAGTTTGTAAGCAAGCATACCAATTAAAATTAGGTAAAACCTACCAATTACTGTTTCCACAACATTGTTTATTTCTCTTCTCTGTAAATGGAATATAGGAGGTGAACAATCCACGCTGATTTGCCAGTGTGACTGCACATTCCTCTGAGAGGTATAGACCCTGCTCTTGAAGGCTATGATTTCACACATTTGACCTCAAGGTTAGAACTGGAGCTCTGGCCATCTCCTTCCCATGTCAAACTGAAGAGACTGGACAAAGGCACAGTACCTCCCTTAAGGACTCTTTCTAGAAGTATCATGCGTTTGCAGATTTATTTCTTACTATCCAGAGCTTAGTCATATGGCTCACCTTGTAGCACGAGAAGGTAATAAATATAGTGTGTATTCTGAGTAAGGCAAACAAAATTGAGAGAAGTAAAAACTTGAGTGAGTGTAGTTCTGCCTTTACTTTCTACCTAGTCAGGCCCATGAAGAAGAACAAATGTGTAGAAAGAGAACATATGTAATGAGCACTCTATGTTCATAACTAGCTTCTGCTGCCATGCTGTCAAGTCTGGTAGCTGATGGCCAGTTGGAAATATACTAGTATTCATTTTGTATGATGTAAATACATCAAATTTTGAAGGCTTAGTTTGAGAATATAAAATATCGTAATATCTTAATATTGATAACATGTTGAAATGGTAGTGTTACTACTAGAGAAGATGTATTGTTAAAATTAATTTTGTTTCTTTTTGGGATTTAAAGGATAACTAAATCCATTTCCATGTGTTCTTTGCATTATTTGGTGTTTCTTGAAGTAATTTAAAGTTGCCTGGAACCTACTTGCATTTCCTTAGGTTTCCTGTTAATTGTTTGCCTCTAGTCAAGCTGTCTTCTTTATGGTAGGTCCTTGATTACTAAATGCTTATCTTTGTCATGAAGTAAGTCCTGGAGACTTTAACACTGGTTGGCATATTATAGTCTAAAGTCCTTTTGCATTGTATGTTTAGTCTATAAATTCTTACTTAACCCCAAACTACTACCCTAATTAGTACTTATAGTATTTCCATACAGTTTTAGAGACTACTAAAGTATATACCTTTGTCAGGGAAAGATAAAATACCCAGCTTAGTACATTAATCATATATAAAGTAGAAGTAACTAGACCCTGCCATCAGGTAGCTGTGGCAGTGTTAAAACAGTAGGCACAAAAGACTAACACATACTCTTCAGATTGTTCTTGAGAGACTGGGGATTGCTTTGGAATTTAATTTATTAATATTCTATCTAGTTCTATTATATGGATCCTAAGTCATTCTTTTTTGCTTTGTGTGTGTGTGTGTGTGTGTGTGTGTGTGCATATGTATGTGAAAATGTTCATGCACATGCATGTGTAGACAGAGGTCATTGTTACCTAGATGTTAATGTGGACATCTTCTTCAATAGCACCTCACTGTATTTTTGAGGCAGGGTCTCCCACTGAACCTAAAATTCACCTATTTTGGGTTCAATCCCAAACAATCTGGCCACGGAGCCCCAGTTGTACCCCTGTTTCTTTCAGTGCTCTGATCACACGTGTATACTACTGCCTTGGGTTCTTCATAGGTACTGGAGATCACACTCAAGTCCTCACGTGCACGTGACAAGCTCTTCATTAGATGAGTGATCTGCTGAGCTCTTTACTCCCACTTTTTATGAAGTGCTGAGAAAATTGGGATGAGTAAACAAATGTATTGACAAGGACATGAGTGTGTTTATCTGAAAACAACAATAAGAGATGATTCAAATGTTCTAGGCAGTTTGTATTTCTGCATGTGACATGTAAAATGTTGGAACTGTTTGATTTCCAGATTGAAGATTATGATGTGATAGCCAGCATGATAGGAGCCAAGTGTAAAAACCTCCGAACTCTGGATTTGTGGAGATGCAAAAATATTACGGAGAACGGGATAGCAGAGTTGGCTTCTGGGTGTGTTCTTCTTGAGGAACTTGACCTTGGCTGGTGCCCCACTCTTCAGAGCAGCACTGGGTGCTTTGCCAGACTGGCACGGCAGCTCCCAAACTTGCAGAAACTCTTTCTTACAGCTAACAGGTCTGTGTGTGACACAGACATAGAAGAATTGGCATCTAACTGTGTCAGATTACAGCAACTGGACATATTAGGTAAGAGTAGAATATATAAATATTTTTGAGTTTGCATATAAAATGATGGGTTTTGTAATGGGATTTTCATACCTATATATCATTTTACTTTATTCTTATTCATTTCCTTTTTTTTCTTCCACTACACTGTAGCCACCTTCCTGGGCTCTACCTTACCCCAAGTAGTACTTGCTTCGGCTTTCATGTCAAATGTATTCCTTTACTCTTTCCCCGACTCTGTGTTTCCTTAATGTCTCTTCTACTCTTCCCACAGTCTCCTTTCTACTATCACAGGAATCCTTACTTAAGCATACACATATATATATGAATGTACATCTAGAATACACATGTGAGAGAGAACCTGTGCTATTTGTCTATTGTAGTCTGGTTTATTTTACTTAGCATAATTATCTTGAGAGGCTTCAGGCAAATGTGCATGCATATTCATGCAAATGTGATGATTTCATTTTTTTCTTCATAGCTACATAAAATTACACCAGAATTCCTTCGTGCTTTGGTCCATTACTGGACATCTAGGCTGGTTGCTGTCACTGCTGTAAATAGTGCAACAATAAACATGGATATGAAGGTATCTCTCCATTGTGAGTTGACCTGAGTCCTTCAGGAGTAGTGTGGTTAGTTCTGTTTGTAGTTTTTGAGGAGTCTCGGTGGCTGTAGCAGTTTACATTCTCACCCATACAGTGTAAGGGGTTCCTCTTTCCTCATCATCAGCATTGGCTGGCATGTGTTGTCATTTGTTTTCTTGCTGATAGCCATTCTTCCTTGGGGTGAGGGGTGGGGTGGGTAGAAGCTTAAAGCAGTTGTCTCCTATGTTGCCTTGGTGGTTAAAGATGTTGAACACTTTTTCAGATATTTAGTGGATAATTGTATTTCTTTTTTTGCGACTATCTGCTTAGTGCATTAGCCAACTGATTAGCTAGATGGCTTCCTCTTCTGGTGTTGTGTATTTCCTTATATAGGTTCCAGACTCCTTTCCAATATACAGTTGGCAAAGATTTTTATCTTCCCATTCTGTAAGCTATCTCTACTCTAGTGATTATTTCCTCTGTTATGCTGAAGATTTTAAATTTCATGTAATCTATCTGGAATAGATATCTTAGAATCTAAATATATCTTGGAGTTATTTTCTGTATTGGGTATTGGAGGCTTTTTCAGAAAGTCCTTGCCTATACCTTCATATTGAAGTGTTTTCCCTGTGTTTTCTTCTGGCGTTCAGAGGTCTTTCATTAAGGTCTTTGATCTATTCTGAATTGATTATTGTGGAAGAAAAGAGATAGGGATCTGGTTCCATTTCTTCTACAGGTAGGTAGCTTGTTTTCCTAGTACAACTTATTGAAGAAGGGTCCTTCTAATGTGTGTTATTGGCAATTGTTGCAACTGTGTTCATCAGAAAAATTGTTCTGTAAAGTTTTTGTTGTTGTTGTGACCTTATCCAGTTTAAATAACAGGGTAACAGTGGCTGTATATAGTGAGTCTGGTGGCTGTCCTTTCTTTTCCATGTTGTAGAGCATTTGGAGCAGTGTTTGTGTTTAGCATTTCCATAAGGGTTTGGTTGAATTTAATGGTGAATCTATCTAGTCTCTGGGCCTGCCTTTCTGGGAAGACTTTTTTTCTTATTATTAATGTTTCAATCTTATTTCTTGTTATGGATCTAAGTTGCTTATATATTTTTGATTTAATTTTGGTACACCATGTATGTCTAAGAATTCATCAGTTTCTTCTAGATCTTTCTTTTCTTAAACATTTTCTAAACATTTTCTAGTGTTACTGGTTTTTGCTGGAATTACTCCAACCTCTGTTTTCATCTTTGATTTCATGTATTGTTATTTTATTTTCCATTAATTTATATCTTTATCTCCAGTCTTTTTTGCTACCTGAGCTTTTGAATGAATCTTCAATGTATCAATAGGTAATTTGTTTTAGGTTTCTTTTCTTTTTTAATGTAAATAAAAAATTTTAACTTTCCTCTTAGAACTACCTGAACTGTTTTTCAAGGTTCTGGTATGTTATGCTTTAAATTTCATTTTATTTTAGGAATTAAAAAAAATATATTCCTTGATTTTTTCAGTGACTCTATTCATTACTCAAAAATGTTCAGTCCACAAGAATTTCTATAGTTTTTCTATGTATTGATTCTAGTTTTATTCCACTATGAGGAGATGGGAAACTATTTTTAGTCCTGTGCGTTTGTTAACATTATCTTTGTGGCCTAAAATGTGACTACCTCTATATTGTTCCATAGGCGGATGAGAAGACTGTGTTCCACTGGAAGAGTGTAGATATCTGCTTAGTCAAATTGTTAAATAGTTTAAGTCTGAAACAGCATTGTTGATTTGGTCCAACTAAGATGCAATAAATATTTGTCCTGATAAGACTGCTTGGTAGAAAGTATAAGATAGATTCATTGGCCTAGGGAAAGTGTGTGTGTATGTATGTGTGTGTGTTTGTGTGTGTGTATGTGGGTGTGTAGGTGTTTAGGTGTGTGTGTGTGTGTGTGTGTGTGAGAGAGAGAGAGAGAGAGAGAGAGAGAGAGAGAGAGAGAGAGAGAGAAATGGTGAGTGCAACAACATAATCTCATAGTTGAACTTTCTAAAAGCTTTACATACTCTAAATAATTGACATATTTGTGTCCAGTCAGAAAAGTAAGATTCATATGAATTGTATTCTCTATTTTTATTAAGCATAGAAAATGAATCCATTTGTAAAATAAATCAAACTTGGATTTTTGTTTTTTAAACTCTTGATTTTTCAAAAAATATCTGTCCTCTTTGGTTCTTACAGTCTGTCAGCCTCCTATTCCACAGGGTTTCCTGAGCTTTATCCAAGTCATGATGTCCTTTGCAGCACAGGAGCTTTTCAGTTTCAACAGGTCCCACTTGTTAGTTATTGACCACAGCACATGTGCGAACAGTGTTCTGTTCAGAAAGTTTAGAAAGTTTCCTATGTCAATGAGTTCAAGGGTGTTCTCCCCTTTCTCTTCTTTCAGATTCAGTGTAACTAGTTTTTTGTTGAGGTCTTCAATTCATTTGGAGTTGAGTATTGTACAGGGTGAAAAGTATGGATTTATTTAGATTCCTGTACATCTATCCATCTGGTTTGACTAGCACCATTTGTTAAATATGCTGTCTTTTTTCCAGTGTATATTTGTTAGTGGTGATTTTATAAATGTTTCTGTAAAAAAAAAAAAATCTTAAATCACTACCCATGGCAATTCTAGGTTTAGGAATTATTCTACCACAAGACAACTCTGTTGAGAATTGTTCAGAATCCTGGAATTCCATTTGCCTTCAGTGCACTTGTCCACAAGGAACCCATGCCAGGGGACCAGCAGTGCCACCACTGGTATTATGTCCCCACACACATGACAGAGTACGTGAACTCAGCACTTAAACTGTCTTTGGCAATATGTCAGTGCTGATAAAGATTAGTCTCTAAAGTACTTGTATATCCCTTTTCTCTGTGTTTAATATTCATCAAAGGAAAACCTGAAGCTTTTTAGCATCCAGGTTTGGTTCTGGTTAAAATTTCTCCATGTTCAGGTTTATGATATATCCATAGATGATGTTTATATTGTTGTATGTGACTGATCCTGACTAACCTTAAGCAGGAAATCATACATAATTTATACACTTTGGACCAAATGCATCATTTGTGAAATATTTTACCTGATCTTCTGAGCTAAGGGAGTTGTAGTATTGTCTTTTCATAGATGAAACATAGCATTTCCCAAGAGATAGAGCCAAGTCACAGGCCTGAGATGTTGGTCCTATAGTCAGTCTCTGTGCTTCTGTATAAGGCTCATGCCCATTCATTTTCTTATTTCTTTTCCTTCTGACCTGTCTTCTGCTTGACTTATCCTAGTTCTTTATAAAATTGTAAAACTTCCAGAATATTTAGAAATATTTTGAAAATTTCCAGAAACCATCATAGTTCCTGAGAATAATGAACATCAGCCATGGCCTTTTGCAGTGAGGTAAGGTTCACTTTAGTGCTTAGCACTTTGTTGTTTATAATCTGTTTTACGGCTCTTTCCTAAAACAGTACAAGCTATATAGTAACTATGAACAATAGTCATAGTCTGAAAGAAATGCTATAGAACCACAAGGAGTCAGCCACACTGAGACATGGCCCTCTGTGATGAGCAGTAGAAGTCAGTTAACAGGGGCCCCACTACTTTCTATTAGACATAAGCATGACTTTGCAGCAATAGAATATAAGTGACATGGACACAGAAAGGAGACCTTGTTTGGGGACACAAAGAGAGCATCAAGAGGTAAACAGAGAGGGTGTAAGTGGGCAGTGGGGCAAATAGGAGCAATGTATGATGGTGTGTGTGCATATAAAAGTACAATGTATGATGGTGTGTGTGCATATGAAAGTACAATGTATGATGGTGTGTGTGCAT